GTTGTTTCTATCATGTATAAGTGAAGATAGATAGAAAAGAAAATATAAGAGTAAATGACATAAATACTGCTTAGGTTTTGGTGAGATTGATTACATAAATACTTTATAACTTTTAAATAACTTCTTTTAATTATTTAAAAATATTTAAACTAATACTCTTCATACATTACATTAATTCCTTAGTTATTTAAAAAATTACATCATAACTCCCTATAAAAGATATTATTATAAATTTTATAATAAGGTATAGGAGATGTCAGTGCAATTTCTAAAAATTTCGAGTGTAGTTCAATTTACTTAAAGAAAAAGGTAGAGAAAGAAAGTGACATAGATATAATAGTTGATGAGATAATAAAAAAAAAAGATATAGAAAAAAATTTGAGATGAAAGTAAAGTAAATGTATGTAATTTTTCAATGAATTTAATGGGAAGGCTTGATAAGTTAGTTATATTTTCTTTCTTGTAAAAAAATTGAAATTGTAGTTGAAAAATCTCTCAAGTTGACCTGAGTGGCTAATGTTTAGGGAAGATAAATCTATTGGCTATAGACTATATAAATATAATTCTATATAAACTAGACTGGATGTTTCTATGCTCTATAAAGAAAAACTTTATAGTAAATCTTATATAGAATTCTTTGTAGTTTGATTGTGTTTATTTTGATAGTATCATGTCTAGAAGAGACGAAGTTATATTTGTAACTCTTATCAAACTTATTTGTAAAGGTTGAAACTTGGAGAGACTTGTTCAAAAAAATACTTAGTGGTTGATCTTGAAGAGGTTTCTTGAAAGAATACCTGGTGTTTAGCCATAAGTGGCTTGTAAAAAATACTTATATCTTGCATAAGATAATTGAACTCAATCTGATTGAATTGAGAACTAAACGTAGTCTTTGGGTTAAAGACGAACCAGTATAAAAATACTTGTAACATTACATCTACTTCATTACTTTGTCTGACTACTCTTTAGTATTTTGTCTATTTATATCTTTTCACTGCCTCACTATAAAGAATGCGAGTTTTTGATATACATTATTTAACTCCCTTCTAGTGCGTATTTTTTTCTCCAACAACTATAAAAACTTAAACCATTTACATGAAAAAATAAGTTCACATTAATGTGAAAAAAAAAGAATAAACATTAGAAGAGGAGGTTCAATAGTGTGTGATGTGAATCCCAAACTCACTTTTTCGTAGTGAAGACTATGTTACCTTGATGACATCCCACATTTATTTAGTCATTGAGTAGTTGTAGAACTTGTTGTACTCCGTTTTGGACACAGAACAAGTAAAGATGTATCTTGCTTTAGTGTTGAGCTACAACGTATTGTAGTCGTCTTAAGTGTATTCACTCTAAAGCTTGGTAACAACAACATCACCTTGAGTGATGATTCAACAGAGGTGATATCGAGTGGATTTAATGAATATCTTCATTCTATCCTTCTAATACGGATAATCCTTTCCATTAAAGGCAAGGGACCTTATGAGGGAGACTCCTTCTAATAAGTATTGCCCTACACTACTTCCCATAACAAATATTTTTCCTTTAGCATGATTAGATGCTCAACCTCGCCAAAGGTTGAGCTTTAATACCAATTTGTAGAGAAAAGATAAACAATAGAAGGAGAGTTTTAATAATGTTTATAAAAAATCACACTTTTTCGTAGTGAAGTAATAACTTTAGTCAAATGGAGTGCAAATAGAAGTTAGACAAAACATTAAGTATTTTTATACTGATTCATCTCAACCACCAAGACTATGTTCAGTTCTCAATGCAATCGGATTGAGTTCCACTATTCTTCAATGAATATACAAGTATTCTTTCAATAAACCACTTCTGACATTCTTTGACTTATTTTTTCAAACAACTACCTAAATATTCTTTTCATAACAAGCCTCTCAAGGATTAAGAACCAAGTATTTTTTTTCAAACAAATCTCTCCAGGCTCAACCAAGTATTGTTTTTACAAAAAAAATCTCTCTCGTCTCAACCTTATAACAATGGCTTGTTTTCGTCTCTCTTAGACATTATACAACCAATATAGTGTACTAAGAATTTTACAAGAAAGAATGAAATTTATTCATAAGTATAATTTACAGAGTGTGTTTCTTCGTGTACATCTTTGTACATGTGTCTCTTTTCTTTCTTAAGCTTCGAATCTTTTTATATACTAGTTTTGGAGAAGATGACCATTGCTACACTTTGAGTCAAGTTAACAAGTTTTTTTTTTTTTCCGTCTATCTTCAATGTCTTTTCTTGTGATGGGAGATAACTCTTGACTCATTTAATGCAAATATTAAATGCATTTCACTAAATATGGTTTCTCTTATCTGATAAAAAAAGTTACTTATCATCTTTTCATACCAAACAAGCTTGTAGACATAATGTTAATGCAGAACAATAACAACAATGCCTTTATATGATATTTCAGGGATCCTTATTTTTTGTTTTGACAGAAAGCATGATCTCATTCTCTTAAACAAATTTGTGAATTCCAAGATGACTTTCTAGTTCGATTTATTAAAGAATAAAACATTCACATAAATTTTGTCATTAGTCTCAATAAATAATAAATATTTAATATATATGAGAAAAACTATATGTTTCATCTTATTTACATTGTCTTATAGATGATCTATCTTACACGCTTTATCTGATAAACATTTTTTGAAGACATTTTCTCTTATAAAAGCATTTTGCTTATTAACATTAAAATTTCAAATCTTGAGAGATCTAAGATTATCTTTTGACTTAACAAATAAAAGATAGGAAGACGAGATACATATGAAATTCAAAATTTAGATTAGAAACTCAAGCTATAATGGAATTCATTGGAACCCTTAAATTGATCAAAGCCTTTAACCTTTTATAGTCATTATTATTTAAAAAAAAAAACTTCAAAAAAAAAACTTCAAAAAAAAAAATGAAAAAAAATTGAGAAAGGAAAAGAGAAAAATAATTAATAATTCTAAACAAAATTTCATAAAATTGGGAATCAAATATATTTCTCAGTTACATGCAAAATAAGGATTAAAAAATTTCCAACAATAATTAATTACTAAAATATAAAATTTTAACAATATTCTACTTTTAATCTTCCACTTTATATAATATAATAGTTATATCACAGGTTAGTAGGTCATATTGTTTATCTTTAGACCTTTACTTTAATAATCAAACTCATCTCATGGATAAATAAGAAAATCATTGTAGCTTTCGCCACATTCCGTAAAAATGTGACCACACACAAATACGTTATTAGATCGGAATGATTAATTAACTTGGATTGACCTCAGTGAACTCATGTCACTTAATCAAATGGTCGGTATTTGAATCTTAAATGAATATAAAATATTCAAGTTAAAAAAGGATGTCCACCTACTCAAATTAACATAAAATATTATTTAGAAAAACTTACTATCAAAATTAAAATTAATTGAATGCATAATTATTAAAATAAGTTTTAATATTTATATTTCTTTTATATAGATGTCTTTTACGTTGTTAATTATTATATTGATATTAATACATATATTAATAGTTTTAAATTAAATGGTTATTAAAGCTAAATTTTTAACTTTGATTAACGAACGACATCATCATCTGCATTTAGCTTAATAATATGTGTGAGGATTTTATTATAACTTAAAATCTATGGTACATATTTTATTTAATTGATTTTATAGTTTAATATTTCTTAATTATTATTGATTGACGTTTTAATAGGATTAAAACGGTTATGTTACTATTTGTTTTAATAGCATTGACATAGTCTTTCCTTGTTAATTGGTGGAATATTTTTTTTGGCTGAAGCACGTTGCTACTTTTTCTCATTAATTACTTTTTTTTTTATGTGTTTTATGTTTTGAAGTGATATTTTTTGATTTGAAGATTTTTTACTATATATAATTGATATGATAGATTATTATATCTTTGAAAAATAATGCATTACAAATTAATCTAATAATAGAATAATCTAAAAAAAATTTACCTATGTTTTGTTTTTACCTAGATATGCTAGGCAAGTGAATTGGTTGGAAGGTAGAAATTTTGCAATTTCCATTTAATTTGTACTCACATGGCAATACAACTTGTGGAATAAATGGCGTAGCTAGTCAACATCGCTGCCAACATTTTAGGATATTTTAATTGTACCAAAAATTATATATAATTTGTACTCACATGGCAATACAACTTGTGGAATAGATGGCGTAGCTAGTCAACATCGCTGCCAGCCTTTTAAGGATATTTTCTACCAAAAATTATATATATATATAAGGAGAGATCATACATTCAGAAATTTGTTTAATAATTTATATTTTACATTAAATTTTAATAATTTAACTTTTAAATTTAAAATTCTTAATTTATAAATTAAATTTGTAAAATTTTAAAAAA